AAGGAGCCATTGCAGCCTGACTCTCAGACCGCCTCCCGTTAAGGAGGAGGTCCAAGGTACCCCGTCAGTTGGCAACCTTCCAAGCCACGGCTTTTAGCGCACCGTGATAGCTTCGAGCGCGTCAGATTGATTATAGTGAGGAGAAAGTGCGCTGAGTCGTCGACCTCACTCTCCCTTCCCATTCCCACACCCCAGCCACTGTCCGAGCCGGTCAGTAGACTAAAGTGGGGAATGGGCGCGGTGGCTGACATGGTCGACTGACCATGCCTGCGCGCGCCACAGCACGACCTGGCCCCCCATACACACAAACACCAGGATTTCACACAACGGGGGTTGAACGGCGTGTCTCTCACTTGCGTGAGAGTGCCGTGGAAGGTGCTGTTGCAGCCCGTCCCCAGCCCACCAGTCCGCCACTCCACACAACACACACACACACAATGTGACGAACTGCGTGAACCGAGAACGGGCCTCAATCAGCAACCTTCTCTCCACGACACTTGACGTGTCGGGATAGTCTCGGACACAGTCACCCGTGCAGCCGAAACCGCATGGGGACCGAGTCGAGATGCACACTTCCCACTTGCGTGGGAGGCGGCAGTTGAGTAAATGAGGTGTGTGAGGGTTGATGTCTGGTGGGGTGATGGTGTTAGGAGGTAGGGAGTGAGGGAATGTGTGGTGTGACCGGCGGTTGTCTACCGCAGGTCGTCGTGGATGCGCATGTGGCCGAATAGACCCATGCGGTGCGTGAAGGTGCGAGGTCAGTGTGGGTAGTGGAGGCGAGTGCAGTGGGTGTAGGTTGGTGCTCCAGGCACTGGTTCGCCAGTCTCTGTGCGATGGATTCGTAAGTGACCGACCAGGCCGATGCGTGAGGTGAAGGTGCGTGGACAATGTGGGCATGAGAGGTCGGCGGTGTCGGTGTCAGCTGTAGATGAAGCAGTGATGTTGGTGGTGGTGGCGGTGGTCGACGCGTGTGACGGTGGAGCGAGGATTGGTCTGGGCGTGGTGGATGTGTTGGATGTCGTGGCTGTATCGCAATTGTGGTCAACTCCGCTCTCGTGGATGCGCATGTGGCCGAATAGACGCATGCGATGCGTGAAGGTGCGAGGGCAGTGTGGGCAGTGGAGGCGAGTGCGGCGGATGTAGGCTGGTGCTCCAGGCACTGGTTCGCCGGTCTCTGTGCGATGGATTCGCAAGTGACCGACCAGGCCGATGCGTGATGTGGAGGTGCGGTCGCAGTGAGGGCAGGTGTAGTCCTGATCCTCATCACTTGAACTGGGAGAGGTGGGGGTGGTGGCGGTTATTGTGTCGGGGTTGGTAATGTGTGAGACGGCAGTCTGAACGGCCGCCGCTGGGGCAGAGGAGGAGAAGGAGGAGGATAGAAGTGGTGGTGCAGAAGGAGTGTCAGAGTTAGTTGGCGGAAGAGAGGACGAGGAAGAGGCGGGCGGGGGGACGATGGCTGCAGCAGTTCGAGATGTGCAGTTGGTTCGAAGACGTCCAACAAGTCCGATTCGTGCCCGGAATGTCCGTTGACATCGAGGACACGTTGGAAGCGGTTGTGCGGCGGCGTTGCGTACTGGGCAAAGTTGGGATTTGCGGGCTTCGCGTTTCACTTTGGCGGCGGCGATGCGGTTGGCTTCGTAGATAGCAGCGCCCGTCTTCACCGCTCTCCTCCATGTCGAAGGATCGCGAGCGAGCACTACCCAGTTGGTCGGGTTGATTTGCAGGTGCTTCAGGGAGGACTTCAGGGTATCCTTGTAACGGCGAATTTGGCCTCCTTGACGACGAGAGTCCGTCGCGACGTCTCCGTAGAAGAGTCGTTTGGGTAGTCGCTCGTCGTCCATGCGCACCAGGTGGCCACTCCAGCGCAGCTGTATTTGCCTTAGTTTGGCGTGGATGCTGACGATTCCCGTTCGTTCCAGTACTTCAGTGTAGGGGATTCGATCCTGCCAGTTAAGCCTTAGGATGCGACGAAGACAACTGAGGTGGAAGTGGTTCAGTCGGCGTGCCTGCCTCGTGTACACCGTCCAAGTCTCCGCTCCATACAGTAGCGTCGGCAGAATGACGGCCTTGTACATCTTTAGCTTCGTGCTCAGATGAAGTCCGTGACGATTCCAAACTGTGCTTTGGAGGCTACCGAAGGCTTGACTGGCTTTCGAGATCATGTTGGCGACTTCGTCATCGATCTCGGTGTTGTGGGAGAGGGTACTGCCCAGGTACGGGAAGTTCTCCACCACTTGCAGTTGGGTCCCATTCACGCTGATTTGCGGCGACGCGTTGGTGGCTGTGGCTGAGTTGGGTGGCGGTTGATGCATCACCACCTTCTTCTGCGTGTTAACAACCAGCCCAAAGTTCTCGCAGGCGGCGGAGAATAGGTCCATGCTCCGTTGCATCTCCTCTTCCGAGGTGGTGTTCAGGGCGCAGTCGTCGGCGAAGAGAAGTTCGTAGACGGTGGTTGTGGATACGCGCGACTGGAAGTGCATCCGCCGTTGATTCAGCAGGTGACCGTCCGTCCTGTAGGCGATACGGATCCCGGGGCGTTCGTCGCGGTAGGCGCCCATCAGCATGGCAGAGAACATGAGACTGAAGAGGGTTGGCGCCAGCACGCGGCCCTGCTTCACTCCGTTGGTCACTGCGAATGCCTCTGAGACAGCTCCGTTGTCCGTGACGCGCGCCATCATACTGTCGTGCAGCTGACGCACCATCTGAGTGAATCGCTCCGGACAGCCGAATTTCTGCATGATCTTCCACAGTCCTTCACGATTCACCGTGTCGAAGGCTTTCGTCAGGTCCACGAAGGTAGAGTACAGGTGGGTCCGCATCTCCTGGCACTTCTCCTGAAGTTGGCGGGCTGCGAAGATCATATCCGTGGTCCCACGATGACGACGGAAGCCGCATTGGCTTTCCGGCAGAAGGCCCTGTTCCAGATGGTTGTTGAGGCGCTTGAGGAGGATGCGAGCGAAGATCTTCCCGGCGATGTTTAGCAAGGAGATGCCACGGTGATTGTCGCAGACTTGGCGATTTCCTTTGCGCTTGTAAAGATGCACGATGGTTGCGTCTTTGAAATCTTGCGGGACTTCACCTTGACGCCACATCTCCTGGAAAAGCGCAGTCAGTTGATCCATCAGTAGAGGACCTCCGTGCTTGTAGACCTCAGCAGGGATTGCGTCCGATCCGGGTGCTTTCCCGCTGGAGAGCTGCTGCACGGTTCTGATCGTTTCCTGGAGAGATGGCGGGAGGTCGAGGTCCACGTTGGTCGCCACTTGCGGCAAGCGGGCGATGGCGGCGTCAGATATGGCGGAATGGCGGTTGAGGACGCCTCGGAAATGCTCGGCCCATCGCTGTAGGATTTGCGTCTTCTCAGTCAGGAGGGTGCTGCCGTCGGCGCTGAGGAGAGGAGCAGTGCCTTTCGTCGGCGGACCGTAGACAGCTTTGATCGCGGAGAAGAAGTTCTTCCATTCGTTGCGGTCCGCGTATCCTTGGATCTCCTCAGCTTTGCGAGCAGTCCAGGCGTCCTGCATCTCGCGCAGACGTTGCTGAATTTGGCGGCGACTGCGCTAGAAGGCAGCTTTGTTGCCCTCAGTAGGGTGATCTACGTAGGCTTTGTGTAGGCGGTTCTTCTCAGCAAGCAGATTTCTGACTCCACTCCTCACACGTGTGGGATTGGAGATGGTATTGGAAATCTTAACTCGTTTTGTACGAGTGCCCATGTAAGAGGATATAAAATTCGAAAGTTCGCCACCTATTCCGAAAGAGGACAGTTTCAATCGAAGAAGAGCATGGTCAACACGATCAAAAGCCTTAGTGAAGTCGAAATATACTGTGTAAAGTGCAAAGCCATTGTCCCTAGATTGGAGAATATAGTCAAAGAAAGAGAGATGACAGGTGTCACGAGAGCGAGCTTTGAGGAATCCATGCTGAGCAGTACTCAGTAAGTTATTCACAGTTAAGTGACACATCATCTTCTCTTTTATCAATGTCTCTAAGATCTTCGAAAGTGCAGGGAGGGTGCTTATTGGTCGAAAGTCATCAAATGACGTAGATTTGCCGTGCTTAGGAATGGACAAAATGTGTGATTCCTTCCACAAGGTAGGATAAGTTTCACTTTCAAGAGCGAGATTAAATATCTTGCATAAGAGGGATGGGGAAATCGCATTTGCATCGGCTTTTAAAAGGCTTACTGGGACACCATCAGGTCCTAGACTATAAGATTGACGAAAACGCCGAATCGCAACAGTCACATCCACAGAGTGAAAGTTATTGTTTCTAGAACTGTCCCGGTCAATGACGGGATGGTCGGAAGTGGAGTGGTCGAGTCTTCAATAAACGCTTTGGACAGGAAATCATTGAAGCTATCAGCGGTTAACTGGGCATCAACTATGAGATTTCTCAGAGCGTCTCGGAGGATGGGAAGCTGCGTCTTTCTATGAGTTCGTATTTTTCTAAAGAAAAGTTTCGAGACATTTAACGAATGGTTTTCGGTAAACTGGACCTCTTAGACTAGCTGTTTTTCTTTAGAAAATCTCTTAGCTCGATCAAAAATATCACAAATCAAGGGCAGAACAGAAACATCGTTCGGGAGATGGAAACAACGAAAAAGCCTGCGCAATCTGCGACATTAATAATTTTCTTACGGGGGACACAACGAGAAATAAGCGGATCCAAAATTCGTACAGATTTGCAGTGCAAACATTTACATCCGAACTAAGGAAGAAATCAGTCCAGTCGTAGGAATTAAGGTGTGTTAATAATTCGGCTGAGCTTGTTGATCGGAAATCGCGGAAGAAGTTATACTTTGGGGACGACGTTTTGCCAGCCTCAAATTCCAACTTTGAAACAACTATGTCATGGTCTGAGCCCCCGAGTGGGACTAGGGATGACACTGACGATGGCATGCGGCCTCTACAGAAAATTAGGTCAAGTATGCTTGAGCCTCGGTTGGGAAAATCGACAACCTGTTTCCACATCCCAACATCCACAGCCTCAAGAAAGTCTTCGAACCTTCTTGGGCCTGAAGGCGGAGACCAGCGGACTTCAGGGAGATTAAAACAACCCGCAACCAATTGATGCTTAAAGCTTGAGTCGGCCGCAGCATGAAATGCCTGTGAGAGTAAACGATCAAAATTGTCGTTGGCGTTGGGAGGCGATAGACGCAGCCAACGAGTAAGGAGAACTTATTTTTAAGTGCAACCTGGAGCCAGCAGCTGCCTTCCACTGCGGAAAAATGCGGGAGGTCCAACGGCAAAAATGTAAGTGTTTGCTTAACGTAGACGCAGCTGCCCCTACCAGGCTATCTTGGCGATCATTTCGGATGCAATTATAGCCTAGAAGAGAGAGTTCGGAGTCAGCTACGGAGGCTGATGCCCACGTCTCAGTTACTAAAACAATATCTGGACAATGGACGAACACCAGAGTCTGAAGCAAACGCATCTTATTAAGCAAGGATCTGGCATTTAAAACAAAAAGTTTGAAGGGAAAGGCTGAGGGAGGTGGGCTACATCGTCCAGTTCTGGGCTGCCCACGGAGCAAACGCTCCGGATGCAACCATCCGGTTCTGCAAAAAATTTTGTGGCATCGAAAAATTCTAACGAGGATAAAAAGGGGTAGGACTTGGGGGAGGGAATGACGGGCAAGTAAACTGGTAACCATTGTTAGTTAACTTATTTTCAGCTGGAAATTCGCGGGGCAGATACTGCAACACATTCCCGCCGGAACGAAACTGAGGATCGGATGAGTTAACTGATCCAGTATGGACATTAGCATGAGGAATACATTGATAAAACGGCCGTGGAGGAAACAAGTTAGGAGGTGGGGGACGCATTGTTTCCATTGGAGCAAGAGTTCTATTAATTGGCGGGAAAATCGGCATATTCGGCCTAACTGCCTCGATATGAGGGCTGGGGGGCAGTTGGGAACACGCTACGTTTTGAGTCGGGGTATTTGAGGCACTGTTAGCCGATTGTGGAGGAAAAGATTTTACAATTGTGCTGGATTTATCGGGTGTCCGAGTGGCTGAGACAGCAGTTGAATTTGTCTTTGAATTAGATACATGCTTAGGCTTACTAGGGGTTGCTGGGGGAGTCGATAGAGGCGTGTTTATACCAGGCGTGATGGTGTGTTTAAAGATCTCAGCATTCAAAGTAGTCGAATTCTCTACGGAATTGACTATGATGTGATGTGCAGATGCCGCAGATGGTGTTTTAGAGGACTTATTCAAACTGACAGTAGGTGTCATTATCTTGCTGTTGGTTTTTGCCGATTCTTATTTTTTCGGTCTCCGCTGCAGGGCGTGAGGTCTGGAGAAACGGAGCAGCGCCATTTACGGCAGAAGTCTCTAGTTATCTCCCTACTCGACAAGATAAAATCGACTTATATCATGGAGAAAAGGGTAACTAGTATCGGCGTATTACGGCTAAGCGAGCGAAGTCGCTTAGCTTGTGCGACACTGAAACTCAAGCCACAACTTTGTAGGAACAAATGCACTCCCTCCGTAGCTGATAAGTGGCTCTGAATGTTTCGCAGTACGAAATTATGCTTGCGTTTAATTCTTTCCTCAGTTTCCGAACTTATTACCCCAATAAGTTCAAAAGCTTGTTCGATTACTTTTTCAGAAGCGCTGTCTATGTCGCCATCTATCAAATGATCGAGCATTTCGTCGGCTGATGGCCTGTTACGACTAGCAGAGGCGTATTTTTGGATGATTAAATGGTCAAGAGGTTCTACATGTACTAAAGGGATTTGTGAGTTAATCAGATCTGCGGACGACGAAGAACATACGCTGGCACCTGCCATGTCTTCAGTCACTATTTTAGCACCCAGAGACGGTGGGGAGGCCGCAAGCTTTCGCAGCCTTCTTCTGGCTGTCAAGGCTCCAGACCCAGTATCATAGACAGTAATTACGGATTGGTAGCCAAGAAGAAATAGTCTTAGTTGGAGCGCCGAATAATCTTATTGCAATGGAATCACCGAATTTCAGGACACAGTCCTGATTTCATATAATTTATTTAGTCTCTATGAGGTCCCTTCCGATCTACTTATGCTTAAGGGGAAGTAAGTAAAGAACACCAAGTCTGCATTTGTATGATAAACATTTTAGACTCTTCGTGATTTTGGTCGCCATCCTTTGAACTTTTCAGCAACTTATAATCTTTTTAAGACAGGAACCACGCTTTTCTTTCATATTCCTGTCGCGAACGAATAGTGATTTCGTATACTTCTTCAATTAGTTCCTTATCTATGCTAACGACAGTTTTAACGACGAGGAGAGCACCAGTTGCCCTTTTAAACGTCCTGCCATACTGAGACAAGAACTTCGTTGTCCTTGCCCTTCAGTATTGTGACTGTCTCCTCATTTTTCAACCCCTCACCGATGTAGCTGAGGAGTACTTTTGGTTTACCGCCCGCCATTCTATAATAAGCGTTTCATACTCCTTCTGTGATATAGGCATAGCTGAGTTTATCTCGTCCGGCTTTCGACTAAACTGTCTCCAATGCTATGGGTTGTTTTTCTGCTGTATACCTTCTCCAAAGTCTGTTCTTTCTGTCTACCTCTCTCTTTCTTCTTCATATTAACCAGACAAGACGGTTCCCTTTTTGAAATTTCTTTATCGGACGCTATGGAATCTATAAAGATGTGAAAAATGTCATGTATGGAAAGGCTTCTAAGTGACGCTACAACTCAGACCCCGTGGCCGGATTTGTGTATTCAGTTGGAATGGTCATATGGAAGACTCTGGGCCATGCACAATAACTACTCTTGAATATTTTCTTTTCAAAATTCCCGCGTATGTGAGATCCAAGTCGCCTGTGCCCCTTGGGTAGAAAATGAATATACTGTACGGAAGCAGGTCGTGTGTAGTGTACACAGACGGACCGTTTAGTTTTAGGAGCCACAGCGCCTAGTCCTCCCATCAGATGGCTGAGCAGCTCGAATAGTAGGCTAGTGCTCTGAAGATGGAATAGAGAATGAGAGAGGTCGCCGCCGGGTACTTTATTACCAGGGCACTGGGTGCACACCCCCCAGTTTAGGTGCTCTAAAGCGCTTTGAAACTATCACGGTGAGCTAAAATGTCACTCAGAAGACTGCAAACTGAGGGCTAAGTCATTCATCTCGAGATGGATATTTTGATTTTAAGGGCCCCCAATTCATATGACCTCTATGCATTCCCACCCTCTTGGCATCCGAGTCATTCTTTTCCGTTGCTTGTGCGAAAACCTGGCTCATAATCAGCGGACCAGGCGTCTATAGCACGTGCATACGGGCTGTTCAGTTTTCGCAGACACTGCATCTGATCCCGGGTTTGATTTTTTGACTATGTCCGGGTCCCATGTTCAGGAGCGTGAGGACTGAGAGTGCCGTAGAGCTGCACATATATATAATCGGTATAAATTAATTCAGACAAACTTGACCGTCCTGGCTCCCAACCTGCTAGGGGACACACGATAAACATCATAGCTGACACGATCGAAATGCCATATGCCAGAAGTGAAAGGCTTGAACGAGCTCGAGGCGCTTAAGTTT